AAATTGTAGAGCAGACCACCCAGAAGATTGCAATGATTAAGCAAAAATTGCTAACCGCTCAGAGCCGACAGAAGAGCTATGCTGATAAGAGGAGACGGCCGTTAGAGTTTGAAGTAGGAGATCATGTATTTTTGAAGGTTTCTCCAGTGACAGGCATTGGTAAATCCATTAAGGCAAAGAAATTGACACCTAGATTTATGGGCCCGTATGAGATCTTGGAGCGAATTGGATCTACTGCATATAGAGTTGCATTACCTCCACAGATTGCAGGTATCCATAATGTGTTCCACGTATCACAGTTGAAGAAGTACAACCCGGATCCCTCCCATGTTATTGAACCTGAAGAAGTAGAATTGAGGGAGAATTTGACCTTTAGATCCGAACCGGAGCGAATTGAGGACTTTAAGGACAAACAACTACGCAATAAGACCATCCGACTCGTGAAGGTGATTTGGAAGGGTGGAGCCCTAGGTGATGCTACTTGGGAGACCGAGGAGAGTATGAGGCGAGATTATCCACATTTATTTGCTTAGGTACATAGTTTCTAAGCTTATCTATTAAATTTTGAGGACAAAATTTCTAAAAGGAGGGGAGAATTGTAACATCCTGATTTTTATATAATAAAGAAATTGTGGAATTTAGGTTTTGAGGAAAAAAATGATAATAATAGGAATTTATATTATTTGAGGTTATTTAGAAATAATATTATGATTAGGTATTTAATTATGAATTTAAAAAATTTAAATTTAAAACCACATAAGCAATATTTAGTTAAGATATAATACATAAATAATTTTTTTTATGTGTGTGTTAAAAAAAAAGAAGGTAGAAGGAACAAAAAAAAAGGGGGGGTGGAAGGTTGTTGTTTCTAAGTCCCACATTGGTTAGATGAGGGAAGAGAAGAGGTGCCTTCATGTATAAAAAGGAGGGGGTGTGTGCATTAGGAAGCATGAGAGACTAAGATGCAATTTAGAGAAAATTGCAACTTTGGGCCCAAAGGTTTGAATAATTAAATTCAAACCTATAGTTTTTTTTAATATAATTTTGGGACTCACAATCCCATTTTTATATTATTTTTCTCTCTTCCTCTCACGTTGCTCGGCGTTTTCTCGCAAGGGGGGATTATTTTCTTTTTTCTTCAGGTATGTTCTAACTTTCCTGTTTAGATTAGCATTTAAAAATTTATTTAATTACAAAATTAATTTTATAGTTATTTTTTAAATAATATTAGCTTTCTAGTGATATGATTATTTTGTAGGATAGAGTAAATATTTTGATTAGGATTTTTTCTATAGGATAGTAAATCTGATGATATGATGGATTAAAAATATAGGTTAAAACTCTTAGGGATATAATAAATATTATAGAATATTTTCTTGAGGTTGAAACTCATGTTTAAGAATTTTTGAGTTAAAATCTAGATCTATATGGTTGAATTTATGTGGAATCTGAGATGTAGGGATAAACCTATGATTATTAAATATTTATTTAAGTATGAATAGGTATTTTTGAGGTTATAGAAAGGTGATTTGAGGCTTCAGGATAATTTTAAAAATTTAATTTATTTTTGGACGAATTTTTAGAATATAGAAGGATGAAATTGTGATACTAGAAGTGATTTGAGGATTAAAAAAATAGTTTATTAGGGTACGAGAATTTTAGAAAAGAATTTGGGAAGTTAAATGAGGCATAAATCTTAAATTAGTGTTAATATGGATTATAGATCTAAGACTTTCTAACTATTTAAATTAGAGTTATTTATTTTAATGTAAAATTAATATATAGTATTGTGTAGATTATATTGACAAAGATAGTGGTGAAAAAGGAGTTGTGAAGGGGAACTTGTTATTCAAGACACAAGGTAACCATTATTAATGTGTTGTGATGAGTGTGTTTGTGAATGGTTATGTGTTGTTTTGTTGTTTGGAAAAATTATGAATTATTAAAAATAAATACTGTATATACTTGTTTGAAATTATTGCCAAGTGGGTTAAAAATTTATTTTTGTTTATCATGATGAGATATTATTGTTCGGATATATTCCTGTTTGGATATTTGAATGATGCATGACTTGTCAGGGTATTTTAATGTATGGTGTTAATGGGAATTTCTGTTCGGTTAATTATTACCACGTGGTAAGCCCTCATTGGACCCAATGAGTGGCGTGTCGCTTGGTCCAACTCACTTTTGGCCGGGTGATTTGGCGTCCGAGCATGGCGAAAGGAGGATATAAGGTGCAGTCATGCAAATTAAATACTTGTTCGGTTTGTTTGAAAGTATTGTTCGGTTAAATGTTTTGTGTGCCCACTTAGCAATCGCATGATTAGTTACATCCGCATGCATCATCACATATTAATTTTTGGTTACTGGGACTTTTAAGTCTCATTCCCCGTGGTTAATATTTTTACAGGAGCGAGTCTGGCCGAGAAAGCACCAGAGGTGTAACTGTGGTGTATGAGACATCATCTTTTACGTTGCCTCTTATTTTAGATTATACAATGTATCTTGTGCCAACTTAGGACATATCTTCTTTGTGAAGCATGTAAACTCTAATCCTTTTTATTAAAAGTATTTATATGACCAAGAGGATTATGTCTGTCGCTCTTGATTTATGATCTGATTTGAATAACATGCTATGAGGATCATGTCTGTCCCTCATGGTTCTAATTGTTTTTTTTTTGAGATATTTTAAGACCTGTGGTATATTGTCTTGGATGTATCGTGGTAGAAATTTTTCTACCATGATAATGGTTTTAATAATTTGCGAAAAATCGGTCTGTAAATTTGAGGGTGTTACAAGGTGATTTCAACCTTTCAATCCATACTTCCATTATGAGTAAGACACATGTGCATAACAGAACACACTTCTTTAACCACAAAGGGATTATTTTTTAGTCAGGCAACATCTCTACAATTTTGTGCATCCTAAAAACAATATGAACTTTATGAAATAGAATATGGAAGCAATTTGGAAATTGAAATCTTTGTTAAATCAAATCCAAGGTTGCCTTCAAACCTTTTTGCAGAGATAAGTACCTCCAATTGATCCTTCTTTCCCTTCAAATGTTCAATCTCTCCTTCTACTGTGCCGTGCTCTACTTCTCTCATCTAGCTTTCAATCGCCCTCTTGCCTTTACTTATCTTTGCCTCGAATTCTATCGTACTCTCCCTCACGTTGATCACGGACTCAATCTCTCTAAAAACTAACAATCTTCTTTTCTTAATGCTTTGTCACTTTTATATAGGAAGAAGAGGGGTAGGTTTTTTAAAATCATGATAACTCACTATCCTTTGTTGCTTTAATCTCACTTTTCTTCATCTTTCTTTGCATCACCAATTTTAGACTGGCTTTTTCGTCTTTCCTCCTAAACTTTTGACCATTGAGGACTACTTTGCTTCTCCACTTGCCTGATCTAGTTGGTGCTCATCAATTTTCACTTACTTGCAGCCGTTACTATTATCTTCCGCATGCTCATTTCTTTTGCATTTGTGGATTAGAGATGGGGAGGTTTGGGGTTGGTTGGAATGCTAAAGCAATCAACGCTTCAATCATCCTATTTTATTATTTTTAAATTTTTTATTGAAAAAATCTATTTTTTATTTGAGAGAAAACCTCCTATTTTTTTTAGTAGTTAAGGAGAAATAATAAGATTCAAGAAAATTCAAAAAGATTTAGTTCTCAGAAGTTGATTCCTATTATCTTTAAATTGTTGAGATAATTTGAAAGATATTTTTTAAAGATTCAAGCAATATTTTTTTCTCTCTTTTCAAAATTAATTTTGAAGATATATTAAATTTATTCTCTTTATTATTATTATTATTATTATTTTTGAAAAATAATCCTTAAAAAGGATTAAATTTTTTTATATTTATTAGATTTTTTGAAATATAATTTTTAAAAATAATTAATATTTAGTTTTTTCTATTTTTGAAAATTAATTCTTTAAAAGATGATTAAATTTTAATTTTATATTTTTACATTTTTTTTTGGATTTTTTGTTTCAACAAGATGAACACAAAGGTATTTAAAAATAAAGGCTATCAAATGATCAAACAAATATTTTTTTACATTTTTTATTTATAATTTTTTAAATGTATGGACAAAAGACAGCGTCCACATACTTATTTTAGCCAAATGGACAATTTTTTTCTTTATGGATTTAGCGCATCAAATCTAATTTTTTTCAACACCCATTTAAATCACAAATAATCTATTGTGCATTCTTGAAAAGTCATAATACTTAAAAAAAAAAAAAATCTTACTTGAACATCTTACTAAAAGTAAGTTTAAATAATAAAAATGAATATGAAATTGATAAAAGAAAAAGAATTAAAATTAAAAATATGTTTGGCACCACAAAAAATTTAAATAAAATTTTGATATTATTTATATTTTTTATGGGTTATGAATTAAATAAAAAAATGAAGCAAAAATATTAAAAAAATTTATTAAATTTTTATAATTAATTATCTTCTTATTTAGGTGTGTTATCTTTTTTACTGAGAAAGAAAATTTAAATATAAACTCATATTATTTTTATCAATAAATTTATATTTGTGATTTGAATAATAATTCTTATAATATTAACAAATGATATATATTTAAAATATTTCTACAAAAATTCATAAATCATTATTTTATAAATTTTAGCAAAAAATTTATTTATAAATTATAATAAAGATTCATATTATATTTTAAATATAAAGAATATATTTAAGAGTTATAAATTATAAATTTTAAAAATATTATTATTATAAATTTATTAGAAGATGTATTATAATTAAAAAAATTAATTTTTTTTAAAGCTAACTCATGAGCCCTATCTGTTTGAAAAAATAAGCAAATTTTTTTAAAGCTCAACTTATTTTCACGGTTTATATATATATATATATATATATATATTCTTATTTTACTGTATGTAACAAAAAATGTTTAATGCTCTAGTGCTCTACCCCTACCGCCCAAGGCCTTTGGACCCGCTAAAGAGTTTAGAGTGTGTTAGGCCTGCGTCCTATTAATTTCATTCAGGTATTCATTGAGATTCTCTCCTGAACCTTCGTTAGGGTTTTTGTTCTTGAAGCTGAAGCTCAATCGTTTCACTCAATCCTAGCGATGGCGACTCAAATCCTCTCTCGCGCCTTCCCTAAATCTCTAACCTCGGCTTTCTTCTTTTCTCGCTCTCTTTTATCCGCCGTCACCGCCACTTCCTCTGCTTCTCTCTCCGTCACCGCTCGTTCCCCCCTCTCCGCTCTTGCTTTTCTCCACCGCCTCCGCCCTCTCGCCGTCGCTTCTGCTGATATCCATCGCCGCTTAGTTGCGCCTCCCTCCTTGCGGACCTTCTCGACCCGTGCGACTTCTTCTTCGCTCAATGATCCCAACCCTAACTGGTCGAACCGGCCCCCTAAAGAGACAATCTTGCTTGATGGATGTGATTTTGAGCATTGGCTTGTTGTCATGGAGAAGCCCGAAGGTGATCCCACCAGGGACGAGATCATTGATAGTTATATTAAAACTTTAGCTCAGGTGGTTGGCAGGTACTGTCTTCTATAATATCCATTGATTTACCCTTTATGTATGATTAATCGTGGTGATCAATTTCTTTAGGATCTCAAATTTTTAGTTCTTGATTGTCGGGAGATGCGTTTAATTGAAGTTGGAAGGTTGTTTCCTTTCCCATAAATTAACCACGTTGTGTTAGCTTGTTTGGCGTTTCATAGTTGCGTATTTATTATGGCATACATTTTATCTTAGCGGCCTAATAGATTACTTCACAATAGAAGAAGCAATTTTTGCAGGTTATTCATATTCACGTCTGCTGTAGTTTTGCAATTGACTTGTATGCTCTAGTCATTGCTGTACAATCATACTTTAAATAAATGGTAGAGCAGATGAGGAAGTGAAGCAATTATGTTTCGCTTGTCATTGAGGGCACGCTATTGTTTTCTTTTTTGGAAAGATATAGGGAAACTATATTTTTAATATTTATATGACTTCACATTTTGGCCTCATGATTGGCATTCAAATTGTTCGCTCGTTCAGTGAAGAAGAAGCCAGGATGAAGATATATTCAGTTTCAACTAGACACTACTATGCATTTGGGGCCCTTGTATCTGAAGAACTTTCGTACAAACTTAAGGGTGAAGACAATCCTAAACACTTTGGCTCTTTCTTTCTTTCTTTTCTTTTTTTTTTTGGTTAAATAATTTTTCCATAAAATCGTGGACTTGACTAATCGTTCTTGAAATTGCAGAATTGCCTAGAGTTCGTTGGGTCCTTCCTGATTCATATTTGGATGTCAAGAACAAAGATTATGGAGGTAAGAACTTTACCTTCAATTTCAAAAATCTTTTGGATATTGTATGATATGTGCATTTCTGCCTGCTCTGGTCAATTCAATATATCATCAGCATCTCTCAAAAGTTTGTAAGGATCTGCTCTATTTGTACGATGCCTGAAATCCTGCTAGAATGTAATCTTTTGCATATATTATATTATTGCTGCTGCATAACTGCAATCCGCTCACATTTAGTGGAATCTCCCAATTCCCCCACTAGGTGAACCCTTTATCAATGGGCAAGCTGTTCCATATGATCCCAAGTATCATGAAGAATGGGTAAGGAACAATGCGCGAGCAAATGAAAGGAACAGACGCAATGATAGGCCTCGCAATGCTGATAGGTCGAGAAATTTTGAGAGGAGGAGGGAAAATATTGTGAACAGAGATACGCAAGGTAGACCTCCCATGCCAGGACCTCCAAGCAACCCAGTTGGAGTCCCTCCAACCCAACCTGGTGGATATTCTCCTAATAATCCAGCTGGATATCCACATCACCAGGGTGGATATCCTCCCAACAGCCAGGGTGGATACCCTCCCAACAATCCAGGTGGATACTCTGCCAGCAACCCGGGCGGGTACGCGGCCAACAACCCTGGCGGGTATGCGGCCAACAACCCTGGTGGGTACGCTCCCAACAACCCAGGGGGATATCCTCCCAACAACCCTGGGGGATATCCTCCCAACAACCCAGGGGGATACCCTCCCAGCCAAATGGGGGGATACCCTCCCAGCCAAATGGGGGGATTCCCTTCCAATAACATGGGCGGAGGCCCTCCTAACAGCCAGGGTAACACGCCACCCAGCAATATGGGAGCGATGCCATCTAATCAGAACCTGGGAGGGGTTCCATCAAATGCGGGATGGTCCGGTAGAGACCATTAGCTTAGCTTATACACTTGAAAGTTGAAATTCGGACAGTGAATGAGATGATTGGGAGATATGGCAGTCTTGTGGCCATGTAGATAAGGAAGAATTGTGTCGAGACAACCTGAGGTGATGTCATGTGTTGGAAAAATTCTAATTTATTTAGTTTTGCTTGTCAATCCAATGAATGATGAATCTTTATGCTTATGTTATGTAAAGGAACAACTACATAATTTTTGCAGTCAAGATTATGGTATTTTTTTTTAATCTTTTATTTCTTGAGATTTTGAATTACTGACTTCAAATCAGTGACTTATTGAGTGTTACTAACCTATTGTGAATATCAAGCATCTGGTGTGTGGTTGTATTAAATCAGCGATTTTGAAAGCCGAAGAAATTGGCCTCGTTAAATCTTCTGGCATGTATCAAATTGGAGAGGAGTATTTTGATTCTGCCCTTAATATGCAAAATATAGTTGGTTATTCTAGGCTAACAAAATGATTGGTGACATTGAATATTGTAAAGGAGCCGAGTAAAAATAAGTATCCTGGACTTCCGTAAGGACATGAGGAAATAGTAAGTGGATTGATTGCGGTACATTTATTTATACGTGTTTATGCGTGTGTTGCTTTCGTAGGATACTTTTAGGGACAATTATAATTAAGGACTTCCGAATTCCGCAAATAACTAAAATCATAGAATCATGAAATTATGAAATTGAGTTTTAGGATAATGGTTCTTTTTTGTAATTTTAAAAATAATAATTTAACTAAAATGTCCCTTGTGACTAAGTTTGCAAGTAGCAAATAATTTTTCAACTTAAACAAAGTGATTTTAAATTTTTTTAAATTAAATTTTTAATTCAATTAAAGTGATTTCAACATTAATGAATTTTAAATTGGTTAATTGCAGGTTTGAGAATAAAAATTTTTCCAACTTGGATAAAATAATTTCATAATCCCTTTAACTATATTTTTAGCCAAATTAAAGTGATTGTAACACTAAAAATTTGTCATGAAGTTGCAAGTCTTGTGATCAATTTTGCAAGTTTAGAAATAAAATATTTTTCAACTTAAACAAAGTAATTTCACAACTTACTCCAATTAAATTTTCAACCCAATTAGAGCAACAATGGCAAATTGCATACCTTAAATTTTATTGATTATATTATTATAATTGATCATTGTATCTCTATAGTAGATAATGTTTTTTTTTTTTTTTTATAGCATGATAAGTAAACTTCACCGACAGTAAATGTTATTCTTCAAGAAATATGAAAAGCAAAAGATAGATCTCTTTTAATTAAGTTACTATATGACATAAAGTTCTAATAAACTAAATTTGAAAAAAAATTTTGATCCAAAAAAATGTATTAATTAAATATTATTATTATTATTATTATTATTATTATTATTATTATTATTATTATACATAAAAAAAGGAGTATATCCATGATTTGGTAAAAACTAATTTTTACCTTTTATAAATGTATTAACTTTCAAAATAACACGGAAATTAAAGATGAACAATAAAATTCATCAATATATAACAAAATATTCATGAATAAAGCAACTTAGGCATATTCACATTAGATTTTGTGCAAAACATAGGCTACAAAGTCCAATTACAAAAATAGCAGTACTATTATTCATGGTTATGAACAGGGTTTCGTATTACAAATTTTATATTTTATATTTTATATTATTAATGATATTATTGAAATATTATGAACAATTCAAAATATTTACAAAGGAATTTTTGTTTCTATGGATACACTAAAAAAAAAAAAATTATTAGCCGATGAGGATGACTAGATGGTGACGATAATGATAATACTAAAACCCTATTATTCTTTCCGAAGTCCCTAAACAAAACCCTGACCTTGCTCTTGCTTTGAGGGGTATACCTCCGCTTCAGTGTTCTCGCGCCTGGCCCTTGACACTCTCATCTCACCAATGTCCAGCTGTTAGAGTTGCCGATAGCCGATCATATTTGTTTCAGTTCAACTCTTCATGGTCCTTCTTCGACAGCTCTCCAAACACTGATTCTGGTTATCCATGGTTTTGGAGAATTACCGGTTTGATCATAAAAACCAAATGGGCATCGTTGATATTTGATCATGGATCATATGAGTTGGTCGGTAGTTCCTTGGCTTATTTCCGTTTGCATCATTAAATGCTTTTTGTAGAATGCTCTGCATATATCCATGCACATTTCTATTTTGATGCTCGTGTTCGTTTAGAGGGAAGCAGTGCATTGGGTTTCTGTCGTAAATTTGACGAGTTTGGAAATATCCTACCGATTACATGTCAAGTTCTAGCTTGCCCCTGAATTGTTCGATTTCGAAATCCTTTTGCTTTTTTATCTAGATACCCCTACCTAATCACGATGCTGCGATTGCAGAAAATTCGAGCCTCTCTTTACCCCTTGATAAACAGCTACTAGCTGAACTCGGGCATACACCGCCCAGCTTTTTTTTTTTTAATATTATTTGTATTTTTCGGGTCACTGTGTCCTGCGTGCGTATGAGGGATAATAGGTAATTGCTGTTGACCTAATATGTAATGCATCAGCTTCTAAGTTGCCAACCGTAATGATAATCTAAGGAAGCAATACGGGTAGGACCTATAAATACGTAGGATTGCCTTTATTATTTTAGCTGTAGAAGCTTTACATGTCGTCACATAATGAACCTGTTTTCAAACAGCGTGATGTGTTGAGCAGTCTAAGTTGTGCGGCGATGCATAAGGAGACTGAGCGATATAGATGCTAGCAGCTTAATTGGGCTTTAAAAGTTCTAAAGCATGAGCGTCAGGGTTTTGAATTTATAAATCGAAGGTTCTGTGCTTTAAGTTCTTAGAGTTAACTTAATTGCTGTAAACTTCGCTTTGGTATCTAATTTCAAATATACTATCTTGGTTTCTATTAACGTTGGTTGTCTTCGATTGTAATTATAAATATGTGGTGTACTTCCCCCCTTTCTTTTATATCTAATTTTATCTGTTCAAAGAGATGTGCGAATTGATTATGCCCTTGATGGTAATGTTAAAAATTAAGGCGCACTATCTAATGTGCATATTACTTGCAGAAGACAATTTTTTAACTACTGATATGTATATTATTGAGGCTTGCTTAAGTTTAAGGCCTACCTTGACTGCTGTGTCAGATGTTTTTGGGATCTTCTAGTGTGCAAGTGAAGTTAGTCCACATGCAGTGAAGTATCATTTATATGACGTTGTAGACCTGGTGCAGTAGTGCATGGCAAAAAATGGATTTCAAGCTTAAAGGAATAACATGGGTGGGGGATTTTTACCAGAAGTTTGAAGAAGTGTGCCAAGAGGTGGATGATATTTTTGGGCAGGTGTAATTTCATTCTTTCATTTCTATTTGGTTTTTCCTTTTCCTTTTGATGATTCAATTACAAAATTGCATAGCTCCGGCACTCTGTTTGTTGATTTGATATCTACGCTGTGGTATTTTTAAGTGCTGTTGTGATAGTCTTATAACTTACTGTGTTCAGGATGCTGTTAAATATCTTGGGAATCAGGTTCAGAATGTTGGAGATGGCGTAAAAAGGTTCTGTTCTGATGTTGTTCAGGATGTGCTTCCTCCACCTCCCTTGGTCAATCCTGTGAAACATGGATATCGTTCACTGGCTTTGAACAATAATGTTGACTCTTCATTAGAGTCAGTTGCAGCTGGTACAGTAAATAAAGAAAGGGCCGAGGAAAACCCTGTCAATAATATCATCGAGTCATTCCATGATTCTGATGCAAATAATCTTACCAATAGTCAGCATGGTCAAGCTTCCATTGGACTTGACCTTGTAAATCAAGTCAATCATGAAATTTTGCCAAATTCCTCTGAGGTGGAAGATTCTTGCTCTACTCGAGAAGAGGTTAGTGACAATTCCTTGAGGGAAACTGCCAGTGTCATGAAAGAAAACTTGGACGTGGGCCTTGTACAGAATGCTGTCAAATCAATCCCTGAGCTGTTGAATGAGATTTCTCTTAATGAGAAAAAACCCCTTGAATCCTCAGTCTTTAGTGACTCTTTAGATAGCCTCGCTTCCTCTGAAGTGTTACTGTCTACCATGCTAAGTGAAGGTTCCTGCTTGTCTGAATCTGACAGTCTATCTGCAAGATCACAAGTGAGCTATTGCTCTGAAATTGATTCTTGCAAGGAACATTCAGTTGTTGCTGGCTGTACCTTAGATAGTTCCATGGTGCTTGTATCCCGCACAGCGACCCCTAATGTAGGTGTTGCTGGTCAGTTCTTGACATCACAGGCTGGACCTTCCTGTGGCAGCAACAAGTCAATGGAGTTACATGGTTGGTATCTCTCACTATTTTCTTTCTCTTTCTTTTAATGATGATCATAACTAGTCTTTGTATCCTCTTGCTGCTGAATTGGACTTGCTTTAATATTGTCAGAGGGAGAGACTTCTGCGTTCAATGAAGTAATGCCTTCAAATAACTTATTTGGAACTTCGATTGGGCATGGAGAGATATCTTCTGCTCAGGAGAGGGCTATAATATCAGTGTCAGAGAGTGGTAAGTCATTATTATCAGACAGACCATGATGTCTTGCTTCACTTAGTGGGTTTGGATGCAGACAAGGCCATCTGAGCAACATCAAATTTAGAAGGGAAAATAGTAATTAAGGATTGCTGGAGAAAATTTATATCAATCAAGGATCAGTTATTGTCAAAACTCGAATGAAAAATAAACCCGAATTGATTGTTGTTAATTTATAATGAGTTGTTGTTAAAATTTAAATGGATGGTTGTTGATAAAAGACTAATCCAAATCAACAAGTATCTGTTCGAGTTTTGATAACCAGCAATTTTTGATTGATATAAATTTTTTCCAGCAATCCTTGATTGCTATTTTTTCAATTTATAATTGTACTTTTTAATTGAGGGGAACTTGAGAAACATAAGACTTAGGGCTTGTTTTAAACTATTTTTGTTTTACTGTTTTGAGAACTGGTGTTTTATAGAATATATTATAAGAATAAAAAATAATAATGAAAGCAAGTGTTTTTCACATTCTTTCTTATACTCTAAAACAATAATCCTATAACATCTAAAAGATGTTTTCGTTTTTCTATTTTCTAAAATAATATTTTATTTTTTTTATTCTTTAAAATATTTTCTTTTTTTGTTTTAAACACTTTCTTTCTCATAAATACTTTCTGAAAGCACGTTACTAAACAAATATTTTTGTATTTTATTTTAAAGAATAGAAAATTGTTTTCAGAATAAATTGCCAAACAGGACCTTATATTTAACTGTCATTGCTTACTTCTTCAAGAGGAATGGCGTAGAAAGAATAAAATAAAATTCATTATGTGCTCTGTACTATCCTGTGCTTGTCAATATTTACCTTTTCAGTGCGTTCCATTTTCTCCCATGTGATGTGGGTTTTTCATTGTTTAGATGAACGTCTAGCCAGTTCTATTGATTCCAGCATGGAAGATATTCAATTACGTGATGATGTAAAGCTTGGTGAAAGTTGCTTTTTTGTGGATGATATGGAACTGCATGCTGCTTCCTCCAGGGCCCAAAGGCTTAGATCATACAAGGTACTCCTTTCTTTCCCGCTGATCGGATGTGTCAATTGATATGCTTCTTACACTAAGAAATGTGATGTTATATTGTACTTTCAACCTGTGCTTCATGCAGGTATTAAATGTTTCTTTGTGGTTTATACTTTTGCCCAGAGCTTACTAAAGCCTGAAACTTACTCAAATAACACCACTGATTTATTCCCACAAAAGCAATACTTATTGTTTCACATGGAAGAAAATATTGCTATTATTATATGATGGGTACCTAAGTAGGATGGAGAACCCTACCTCAAAAGCTAGCTGTTGAAGTAGGAGAACCAACCCACTTATATGCCCCATTGAGTATCCCATACTACTCAATGTGAGACTTGGTATCTGTTGCAACCCTCTATCCTAATAAACTTAAAACCAACGAAAATACAGAAAATACACCACAAATGGGATTAAACAAACTAACGGAGTTGTATTGCAAGCAGAATAAAGAGCTGAAATTACAGAGTACATGAAACAACACAAAATATGATGAAACAACACAACATACACCCAGTACAGCAACACAAACCTAAGCTACACATGAACAAATGATGAAGCAAGATGAACTTCCTCCACCCCAACCTGGCATTCGAGAGGCCAGAGCTCTCCACACCACTCCAATTTTTGAAATTACTCCACACTTTCCTTCTACACGAACATATAGATTTAAAAAGCCTAAAATTAGATTGCCCCTGTCAAAACACTAGCTTTACTCCCCTACTTTGATGTGTCAGTTGGTCTTTACCCATAGGATTTTCTCCTAAACCCATAGTTCCATATTTTCTGCCCTTTGCCATTCTTTTTATATCTCCTTTTTTTGAGTTTTCATAGTGACAGGAGATGGGGTCTTATCATTATATATATATATATATTGCCTATGCCAGCAAAGAAATTAATGATGCTTTAAGGGAAAACTAAGGTTGACAAATATAATGGAAACATAGATGTGGATATTTTTTACAATCTAGTACCATGATTGACTCATTCATGAAAAAACCCTTGGCATGTTATAGTTTTGGGAGAATTGCTTTGAGGTCGTTCACAACACATTTAAATACTACAAATCAGCAGACCTTATGGTATTTAAATGTGTCGTGGGACTTGTATGCAATTCTTGTTATGATTTTTATGGGTGAATTTGATAGGAAGCACTCAAAAACTTCACCTGCTTAAATATGTATCATTATGCATTTCTTATTTTCAAAAGCTCAAGTATTTTGCATTTCTTTGTTCCAACAGAAAAGGATCAAGGATGCGTTTGGTCGGAAGAAGCGATTAGAAAAGGAGTATGAACAGCTAGCAATATGGTACGGAGACAGTGACGTGGAATTTAGTAAAGGAACATCACAAACATATCTGGACTCCAAGAACCTGCAGGTGCAGAACTTGTGTGAAATTGAGTGGGAAATTCTCTTTCTGTAAATGCTTGAGCTTTTGCTTCTGCCATCTGTAAACGGTGAAGTGGGTGAAATCACGCTGGTTCCATGCAGACCACAATAATTATCTCTTCGGATGAGTTGCTTTTTGCCCCAATTAAAGCCGGTCCTTTCGGGAGTAAACTCGAGTTTAGCATCCAAATGTTTGTTAATTCTACCTCCGGGTTTGTTTCTTACAATTAGGCTCAGAGGTAGTTGTATTTTGCCATGTAAAAAAGATTTTTTTTTTTTTTTTTGAGGTATACAGAAACCTAAATAAGAGTATCGTCCCCATCTAATGAGGTTTTAAGCTGGGGATATTTGAAAGTGCGTCTGGCTCAGTAATCGTTATATTCTGTTCAAACCCAAAGTTCTAATGCAAGATTTGTGTTCTTTGAGGAGCGACATGAGTTAAAAAATAAAGCAACTCGATTCTTTCATTGTTTATGCTTCATTTGCTTTATTACATTTCTGATGAGCCGACAGCTTCCATTTCATGTTGTGGTCGAGTTGAATTTCAGAAACTTACTAAGATTAGAGATTTCATTTCATTTCTATAAAATCTATTTATATAATATATGAAAAATGAGTTGTAATCCTTGCCTATATTTTAGTATTCAAATTTAAGATTTTAAAATAAATTGATTCAATTCTTGAACTAAAACATTTTGATCTTGAGATTATTTATTTATTTATTAGATGTCTGAGACTACTTTATTAAATGGAGATCTATTTGAAAAGGTCTATATGAAATAGCTGGATAATTTTATAGAATTCAATAAGGAGCACTTAATTTGCAAACAAATCTCCGGACACTGATATTTAAAATCCAATGAAATTATGTCTTTGGGATTCATTCAGAATACTTTTAATTAGTATTTATTAAAAATTTGATGGGAATAATTTTGTCCCTACTATTTGTTTGTAAGTTATAAATAATGTTTAATATCAACTAGTTATGTTTTATTGTACAGTATATATATTATTTATGAACATGATTTATTAAAAATTTTACATTTTGGGTTAAACTTCCCAAAATTCTAAATCGCTAAAAAAAAAAAAGACCACATAGTTAGTTAATAATAGTTGGTGTCGGCTATCGGGTGAAATAAATACCTGTGTTGGACCAGCAAAAATTAATATTTTGGATGGATGTCTCAAGCAAAATCCCCAGTTGCACGGTAAATTAAGTAAGGGTGTTCAGTTTAGATTTGTCCTGATTGGCTCGGTATCATCCCGATTATATTAAGATTGGTTTTGTCCCGGCTCAAAAATAATCAGGACGAAAACTTTACGGGACAGGACAGAAAAGGAGTTCGGGACTGGCCGGGACACAGGATTACCATCGGGACGTCCCGTCCCAAATATTATATATATTATTTTCTATTTTGAATATATTAATTATATTAATATAATTTATACTTATATTAATTATATCAATTATAATTTTAATACTTGTAATTCTTATTTAAAACTAAAGTTTTTTATATTGATAATTTTAATGAGTAAACATGGTGATATCTTTCTTTATAATATATTAATTATATTAATATAATTTATTTTTATATCTATCTATTTAATAACTTTTATTTATAACATATTTCTTGCTTATTTTTAGAAAAGTAATTAACTTAGTACATCTTCACTAAAGTAAAAGAATAATGATTTAATGTTGTGTTTGACTTGTTTGTTGTTGCTAATCTTATAGTATAAAGATCACTTGTATTTGTTATTTTAATATGTAGTTGTGATTAATATAATTTAATAATTGATTTTAAATTATTGTTATTTATGTACTTATGTTGTTTTGATTTTAAACTTAATAAATTATATGATTTAAAATTTTAATGAATGTTATTATCTAATTTTTTTTCGATATTATTTCATTTATCGAGACGATAGTACGTTTCGATTTTGTCCCGATCCCGTCCCAACTCTTAACGAGACGAAACGACTTTCGAGACGAAATAAAATATGAAATCAAAATTCAATCTTAATTTATTTTTTTCATGACAGGACAGGGACCTGATCCCGTCCTGTCATATAAATACCCCTAAAATTAAGTAGTAATAACAAGAAATGGCGGAAGTTCTTTATTTAAAAAAAAAAAAAAAAAAAAGTCATGTAGCGGAAGCCTCTGGGTTTAAAGTTTGGTTTGCAGGAGCGGAACGGGGCTCTCTAAGCTTGTTCCTGCCTCTCAACTCTCATTGCTTTCTAGAGGATGTGATTAGCGGTAGATGGTGTAGTCTCCGAATGTGTTGCTTGCATCTCCCTTGCTTCTCAGAGAAATGTCTTCTCCGACCAGCTCGGTTATCTTTCTCTTGCCGCCGCCGCCTTTTTGCCACCGCGTCCTCGGTTTCCGGTGCCACTAAGAAGGAGAATAAAGAGAAGGTCATAGTCATTTCTGGTCCCACAGGGTCTGGTAAAAGCAGGCTTGCTTTAGAGCTCGCGAAGCGCCTCAATGGCGAAATTATCAGTGCGGATTCTGTCCAGGTAAGCTTAGTGAAAAAAAAGACACCATCTTTGCATGACTTTCATTTATTTCCACTCTCTTGCGTGGTTTTGAGGGAAAGAAATGACGTGGAAAGCAAGAGAGCTTACGTAAGCTGATTCTCGATGGATGGAGTTTTCCATCGTCTAAGTTTTGAATATTGGGAAAGTGCAAGGTTTGACAGTTTTGTAGAGTACTGCCTGGTTCATGGAAGATGAAGTCATTCATGTAGAAGAAAGGTGAATGGCGGTTTAGGTGTTCTTGCTTAGTTTATGTGTTAGTTCTTTGATAATGGAAGTGATTTCCCCCCGTTTCAACTCGCAATTTATGTTTTCTTACTCTTAAAAAAGAAGAAGAAATGTAGCAACTTAACTGCATATGAACTGTTAAAGTGAAAAGCTAGTTTCATGGTTGGCGAAAAAAGTGGTGTAGTCTAATTTTGAAGGCTAAATCGTGTTTTACTAGTGTTACTACGGTTTCCATTTTCCGATCCAGACACTCAAACCTTCTGCTTTTGAAACATAGCTCTTTCCTTTAAAATGTAGAACTCATAAAAATCTAAAGTGGACAACTGGAAGTATGATAAAATTTTTCTCTGCGTAAAAAGTTTTCTCCTATTTATTTGAAACCACTGAATACAGATGCTAAAGTTATTTTTGACTGTTGTGAGGAACATGGCATTATGGATACTCTTCAACAATTCAGGAATATGGAAAATGAAAAAGTGACGAGAATTCTACAAAATCAATTATAGATGTCCCAATATTGGCATTGACTTCTTAGTCTACAATAGAACAAGTCTTTGCATTCCTTTGGGCTGTATTTATTCACATGGCTTGTATTGCAGGTATACCAGGGTCTTGATGTTGGATCAGCAAAGCCATCCAAAATTGATAGAAAGGTCACTACATGAAAAAAATAGTATATTCCTTCACACTAGCTTTTTTAAGAAAAAAATGTTGTTCTTTGAATTTGGAGCTTCCTGCTATGATTTTGGCTTTCCAAAATACCTGGTCCATACCTCTGTTGGGGGCAATATATTGATGTGTGTTAGATGTGTTCATTGGAATTGCATTATCTATAGTAGATAAATGTTCTTTCAAAAGTCCCTCCCTCTAAAGGAGGAGGATCCGTGATTTTTAAGACTTGGTAGTTGCTTATATGTGATGCTTTTAAAGTGATGTAACTAGATTCCCCTCCCCCTTCAAATCAAGAATTTGCGTATAAGTTTTTTTTTTTTTGGGCCAAATTTGCATATAAGTTTCAAGAGTGTGATTTTGCTAATAATTTATGTTACTTGATTGAGTTAAAAATTTAAGGCTCATCAATCCTCTGCATTATAATGGACTCCGACAATGCCCATTGTTAACTGCTTGAAAAATAATTTGGCTGACTATGTTTTTCACTTTTTGCGTTCTGGTTTTCTTATCAGGAGGTGCCACATCATCTGGTTGACATATTGCACCCATCTGAAGGTGTGTTTCATTGTTGCTTACTATATTTTGTTTCCCAGTGCACACATAACATATGATTGTGCTCTTATGCATTAATTGTTACCTATATTTACATTTATTTATTGACTTCACTGCTGTTAAGTCTTCAAAGAATCTTGGATATTTTGAAATAAAATTATTCTTCTATCAGATTATTCTGTTGGACAATTTTTTGAGGATGCAAGGCAAGCTACAAGATGTATTCTTGACAACAGTCATGTTCCTATTGTCGTTGGGGGGACTGGATTGTACTTAAGATGGTATGTCCTTCTCTTGTGATCGAGGAGTCCACATGTCCTTTCATGTATAACATTTCAATTTCTGCATGATAGACGTATCTATTGCTAGTTTATGATCAAACATAAGTAGGGAAATGAAGCGCAGTTTTCTTATTGCTTCAACCTGCTGCATGCCTACATTGCCTTTCTCAAAAAGATTCTGTTAACCAAAGCTCGAAGAAACTTGGGCGTCAGTTGTTTCATTGATCTTTCTTTAAAATTGAGTATAAAAGGAACAAAGAAGGTGGCCCCTTTTTATTTCTTGTAGCATGCAAAAATTTTGCATGGCAATTGAGAAGTGGGGTTGATAGAGCCACTGGTTTTACTGAGACCTATTGGAGGAAATCAAGGAAGATGCAAGGAAGTGAAAAGCAAACTTCTGATGGTCAACAGAGTTATCCTAAGGTTCTTGTTGTTCAGGAAAAAGCAATGATGAGTTAGAGTTGGTATAGCTTGGTCTAGGAGTGGCCAGTGTTGGGAACTGTGAGAGTTATTTTTTGGCATATAGTAGTCGTTGAGGTCTCCTAGCACAGCAGGTCATTTGTTGATGTTTTGAGTGTGGTGAGGAGAGTTCTTGCCTCGTGAATGCCAGTGGCTTATGTCTATGTTGTTCTGTGATTTGTGTATTTGTTTCTGTTAATTGTCAAATCTGGGTGTAATGGGGGAATGGGTTTTTGGCCAGAATCAGTAGTAGTGTCCCATTTGTAACCCTGATTTGGTAATTTGCATACGTTAATAGCAAAACCTTAGGATTTCCCTCATTTATTTCTTCTGTTGTCCTTTCTTTGAATTTTTCTTTTATTGTTCAGCGGGGTTCTATCAGGGGTGTATAGCTGACTGCTGAAGTTATCTTATCCATGTCTATCATGTCTCTGTTGGCAAAAGCTACTTCTGTGAAAAAAATTTGTTTTTATAATGCTAAAGGTCATGTTGGTTTGTGATAGGACTAGCAAGAAATGGCAGTAAAATGAAGAGAAATTCACTGTTGTATCCTCTATTATGATGGGAAAATGTAGAGAATACAATCACTAATCTTCTCCTCACACACAAACTACCTCCTACTACTCACAACAGAAGCAAAAGCTCATAAAGAAATCCTCAGACAACCTGGTTTTCGAGAGACCAGACCCTCTCCTCTTGGACAATTCTGCTGCCTGCCTCACTACGTTCCCCCTCCTCCCCTTTTACACCTCCCACTACTCTGACATTGTTAGATATCGTTATTTCCTGAGCTCTCTCCATTCTTCCCTTCTCCATTCTGTTATTGGGTCCTTCTTTTGGGCCTTCTCTTATGCACATGGCCCCATGTGTTGGGAGGCCCAACAGTTTGGCTTTTGTCAAAGATAGATATGTAGCTGAAGGTTGAGTTTGATTGGCTTTCATATGCAAAATATTTTTCCGTTAGATGCTGCTATATGGGCAACAAATACTTCACCAGAACATTTTCACTGCATCTTATCATTATTACATTGTATGTTCTTTTTCTTTTTCTTTTTCCTATAGGTTTTTAAAAACTAGATTATGTTGCAGATAGTTTCCTATTAATCTTTTGTTTGAACTTTGAAATGCAAGGTTCATTTATGGAAAGCCTGAGGTCCCCAAAGCCTCTCAAGAGATTACATCTGAAGTGTATTTGGAGTTAGCTGAATTACAGAGGAACGGAAAATGGGATGCAGCTGTGCGGTTGGTTGTAGAAGCAGGTGACCCGAAGGCCCAATTTATAACTCCCAATGATTGGTACCGATTACGACGTAGCCTTGAGGTTATTAAGGTAGGTTTTCATGTTACCAAAAAAGAAAAAAAGATAAGGTAGGTTTTTAAGTTTTTTCCAAGGAAAATTTGAATTCCCCTTCCTAGCAACCAAAGAATTCTAGAAGAATTAAGGAAATTATATTCACGCGAACTTCAAGTTTCTCCCTTGGTCCATCTTCTGTCTGTTCCTGCCTCACTTGTTTGTTGCACATAAATCCAATAATTGCATTTTCAATATAAATGAGATTATCAAAATATTTACCTCAATGCAGTTCTATTATATCTTTTCAGTGTGGTTAGTTCTTACTGCATTACTAAGCTGTCTGGGGATACATTTAACATTTACCAGTATATTTGTTTGCCTTTTTATTTGTTTTATTTTGGAATGGCAGTCTAGTGGATCACCTCCATCTGCTTTTCGGGTACCATATGATTCTTTTAGGGAACAAGGAGATTCTAGTGTTGTGGACAACTCTGACTATTCTGATGTCAATGCTACTGGTGATGGAATGAAAGTAACATCCTCAGATTTGGACTACGAGTTCATTTGTTTTTTCCTTTCTACACGAAGGCTTGACCTCTATAGATCAATTGATTATCGCTGTGAAGATATGCTATTAGGTACATTGTGAACTGATAGTAGATATGATTTCTAATTGTTTCAGTCGTGACTTCTATTTTTCTTACATTGGACGTTATTAGCATCTTGTTGGGTATAAATAATCATTCTCACTTCCTTCCTAGTGTGGTTATTAGGAGTTCACATGTGTGCATGTGCACATGTGCCTGTGTAGGTCTCCGTAGCAACACATCCTGCTTTTTGTGCTTGATGTCCATAAATATGAGATTTTGTTCTCTTTGACTGCAGAGAGGGATGGGATATTGTCTGAGGCTCAATGGCTTCTTAATATTGGTCTTCATCCAAATTCAAATTCTGCAACAAAAGCAATTGGTTACAGGCAGGTATACCTTTTGGTTACATATTTCACTTTTACATGTTGCACTTGACAAATTCTAATTATGTCTAACCATAATTATATATGAATGTGAACCAGGAATGGGACCTTTAGAATTGACTGTGATGGTATAATATGTTTGCTTGACAGCAGGAACAGATCTTGGATTAAACTCTTGGAGGAGGGGAGTCAATAAATAATAGCATGCTTTTTTGCATATAAAATAAAAATTGACCTATCTTGGGTCATGTTTGGGGTTGGACTCTTGGGTTTATATTCAGTCGTTTTTAGTGGCTTGTTAGTAATTGGTCCATGAATATATATTACTCATACATCATGATCATGTATATCACTAATTTATGCATTTTATTATTGAGAATAAGAGGTAGAGATATTTTATATGAAGTTCAGAACATGAGGAAGAACTAAGTGATAAGTTACTGGTTTTGATTTTTGTCATGAATGGATGTTTGTGTGCTTATTCAAGTGAACCCAAAAAGATGACAAGGAGAAACTTGAAAAAATTGATTTGAAATAAAAATGAATAAAATTATAAATTATTATATATAACAAATGAGCATCCATCAAGAGAGGTGCAGGCATGCTCACAGTGATATTTTCCTAGTTTTTTCCCTGTTAATTTTTTTAGTTCCTTTCACATGTTCATTTTACTTGCTGAATGGATTGATGAGGTGATTCTCCTTACATTTTGCACTCACTATGGTAGGCCATGGACTACTTAGTAAGATGCAGACAGCAAGGGGGTCAGAGTTCAGTTCGAGAATTCTTCAGTTTTTTAACTGAATTTCAAAAGGCGTCTAGGTATATGTGTTTTTTTTTTTTAAGATAGATGCAACTAGGTTTTATCTGTTTTATATATTAATTTTCTTGGTAGAGGATTGCTGACGACAGAGTTATTTTCCTGCAATTATTCAATCTTTTTACTTTCTTTTGGAAATGTTTGCCCACATTGCGTTGTTGGGAACATATGAGATGTCTCAAGTATGGTTTGATTTTGCCAAGTTTGAGAACTCGAGGAATATAGGAGGCTGCCTTCTGTATTTGGCCTATGGGCAATTGAAATCTCTTTCCCTGGACAAACAATGAAATGTTACGGGGCCAATGGCCTTGTAACCTTGTGGCATGTCAGCTCCCATATAAGTGGGAGGTTGTAGGTTTGATCCTGCTTGTAACCTCAAGCTATTAGTGTCTGCCCCTTTGATTCCAAAAAAAATGTTGTGAGGGAGAAAACAAACACTTCAATTCTCAAAGCTGCCATTCCCCCCAAAATCAATAAAAATAAAAACTGTCTGTGCTGGATCTCGGTTCATTTTTTGACTGTATTTCCCAGAACATTCATTGGCTAGTTTCCCATGAAATTTCATCAGACAAAATTTATTTTCCTGATTGCTTCCAAGCTTAAAAATGTGTACGTGCTGTGTTACTTTTGTGAATGAACCCTTTTTTTTTTTTTTTGTGTGAGAAAGGACCTGTTGATCATGAGATATGCTTTTCATGCCCATTGATGAATATCGACTTCTTAATTGATAGTAAACAGATTTTGACATGGGATTTTATATTGAACATTGCTTTATCAAAACTTGGTGGCTTCATCTGATTTAAGGTGGACGATGTTCTTCATTTTAATTTCTATGAGTAGAGAGTGTTAAGACCATGTAGATGTAAGAGTGATTTTCTGCTTAAAATATGCCCTTTTCTGTAATGGCAGGACATGATGAAATATTGAACTTTCTGAACAAGTATTGTTGGATCATGTTGCTTCCATAGTTGAGTTTTCCTATTTAGTTGTTTTCGCAAGTGTTGCCCTTTTAGCGTTGTTGGCTATTCACGAGGTGCTCATTTCAGTTAAACTTATTGGGTACACTTTCATGTAGGAATTTCGCCAAAAGACAATTGACATGGTTTCGAAATGAACATATATACCACTGGCTTGATGCTTCTAAACCTCTGGTATATTTATTTGATTTTAGTTTATTGCCCTTTTGCTTTTTCTCTTATAGGTGCGGGACAAACAGTAAACTATCAAGATAAAATCCTTCATCTTATTTATCTCAGAGATTTACAAAACTATCTATCGTTTCTACCCCAAAATAAATATTTATTGTGATTTCCTCTGCATGTGTTCCCTTCTTCCCTGGCGAACAAGCTTTTTGCAGTTCAGCTGTGTTATATGGTTCATAATGTTGCACTGAACAATTTATTGCAGGACACTATTCTAGACTTCATCTATGAATCTTACCATGATAAGAGTGGAACTCTCATTGTTCCCGAACACTTGAGAATGTCTAGAGATGTTTCTAATGGTCGAGAAGCTAATGACCTCAAGGTCTACCGCCCCCAAAATAGGTATATTTTTAAGAAGATGAAATGATGACAGCGTCCCTTGCCTTGCCTCCTCTGATCTTGACATTTAATTTCTTGCGTAGGCTTTTCTTGAATAAAGAAGATTGCTTTCCTGTTCTGAACTGGATGAAAACTCAAGTCTGAATTTTGGGTTCTCTTGAAGTTGCCTCAATTTTGACATGACACGGAAAAAACGACGAATCTTTCAGTTTGAGCAGCAAGGTCTGTCTCGATTGCTTGTTTACCTGAATGCATTTCATTTTGCTTTTGGGTTAGATGTAAAGAAAGGCAAAGGAAGACCGATGACAACAGTCAAGAAAGCTGTTGAATGAGATCTTTTGATTAACAATATATTTAAAGATTTGATTGTTGATAGAATATAATGACATTATACAATTCATGTAGTCGATCTCCCCTATGCTTGTTATTGTTGCTGCATTGTGTTTATGTTGCACTACTAAGGAAGACCTAAGAGAACATTGAGAAAAGTTGTTAAATGAGACTTTTTAATTAATGATATATCTTAGGGCCTGTTTGGTATGATGGAAATGGAATGGAGAAAAATATTTGTTTGATATGATGGAATTGGAAAGTTTACCAATTCCAATTCCACCAAAACAATTGGGTTCCATAAAAAAAAAAAAAGAAAAATCTCAATTTTCAAATTCCAGCCTGCTTTTTTCATTCTTTACCCCTTCCCCTCTCTCGACTCAACATTCCCCTTGAATTTCTCAGCACCTAGCAACTAGCACTGGTGACCTCTAGCACCTAGTGACAACAACCTCCATTAATAGTGGAAATTGATGGTGACTCTTCCTCTTCCGGCGACTCCATTAATGGGGAGGTTTAGTGGCATTTGCTGATGTGAATGGCAGAAATAAATGCCCGAAGAAGGTGGTGGTGGTCGGAACTGGATGGGTTTGGATCAGTTTTGTGAAGAATCTAAGAAATCCTTCGTTTGATGTGGAAGTGGTTTCATCTTGTAACCATTTTGCATTTACGCCTTTGCTTCCAAGCGTTACAATTGGCATTGTGGAATCAAGAAGCATCGTTGAACCAATTTGCAAAATCATCCGCAAGGTCCTCTCTTTCATACTCATCACCATTTTTGACTCTGCATTTTTAGCTCTATGGTGGAGGGAAAGTAATTAGTTCATGAAGTGGAGAGAAATCATGCCTGATGGCAAACAAAATTACTTGAGCGTTTCTTGTTACTAGAAATCATGTCTGGTGGCAGCAACTTCTGCAATTAATCGACAATGATATCTGGACAAGGGGAAACTTTTTCAAACAATAGTGGTTGTGGTTTTGCTAGTGTAGTTTTTTCTTTTTGGAAGGTTGTTTTGGTCTTTGGAATGAAAATTATACCTTGATTCTACAAATATACCAAATATATTTTAAATTTCAGTAAACATAACTTTTAGTTTCTATATTTTACTCGTGTTTTATTTTTTATCTCTATTTTTTTTTTCAATGTTTGAAGTTTCTACATTTTTGTGTTTTATTATTTTGGATCATTTTAAGGTTTTTATACTTTACTTATAGAGAGACCAAAAATGATAAAAAATAAAAGTGAGGGGATTTAAAACATCAAAAAAAAATATAAGAACAAAAAATAAAACGCGAGCAAAGTACATGAACTAAAGATTATATTTATTCTTTTATATTCATTTTCATATCCATATCTATCTTCACTTTCATTTCCATTTTTATCAAAATTACTTCCATCATGCATTGTACAATGAGTTGATTAAATAAATATAGCAGCATTCTTCCACTTTTTGTCTCTTGATTGTCAAACAATCAAACTATATGAAGCCATAGCTGAACGAAATTAGAAGTTAGAACATTGTTTCAAGTTAATCACGAGACCTACATAAAATAACTTGTTTTTATTTCCGTTGTATCAAAAAAAAAAATTTGATCACCTTTCTCATTTTATAAATTTTAGGCGAAAAAAGTAATTGAAAGAGATAAGAAGATTCCACTATCTACAACCACAGGCCCAAGCAAAAAGGAATTTTATCAACTATGCGTTTTCTTATTTCAGGTTTTAATCAAAACAAAACAACGTAAAAGATGTAAGGTTTTTTTTTAAATGTTTAAATTTTTTACCACAATAAAAGAACGAAACTTCAAATTTAATAATTGAAAGTTGAAACGATTGCATTCGGAATTAAAATTAAAATGTAGTAATTTGGAAAGGTTTAAGCTTTAAAGGCTTTTTTTTTTTTTGAGGTATTTTCCGTGGACCGGAACCGAAAACGTTGCGGCCGTCAGCTCGTGAGTCCTAATAAAGAGGCAGGTCAATTCCTCGAGAACTCCTTCACTCTAAGCCTGCGCTTCTGCTCTCTGTCTCTCGTTCTCTCTGTAGCTTTTCCTGAGAAAGTTCCGAGAGAAAATGATGAAACCGTCGATGCTCAGATCCCTCCACTCTGCCCTTTCTCGGGGTTCATCCCACCTTGCACGCCGTAGCTATTCCTCCGAATCAGTTCCCGAGCGGAAGGTGGCCGTCCTCGGAGCCGCCGGCGGTATCGGTCAGCCCCTTTCTTTGCTGATGAAGCTCAACCCTCTTGTTTCGAGTCTGTCGCTCTATGATATTGCCGGTACCCCCGGTGTCGCTGCTGATGTCAGCCATATCAACACCAGATCTGAGGTACACTGCCCTCTGGCTTCCATCTATATGAGCAGCTCTTGAAAAATACAAGCTTTGATTATTTCTTTTGAATTTTTTGTACAATTAGATAAGATCTTTAATCTTTATGTGGTCGAATTTTAGGTGGCTGGATACCAAGGTGAAGAAGAGCTTGGGAAGGCTTTGGAGGGATCTGATGTTGTTATAATTCCCGCTGGTGTGCCCAGAAAGCCCGGAATGACCCGTGATGATCTGTTCAACATTAATGCGGGCATTGTTAAATCACTCTGCACAGCTATCGCCAAATACTGCCCCAACGTGAGCATCTATTTTCCTGAATTGCTTTTGATGTTTTTCTTCTATACTTATCAATCACTGTTGCATGCCACTGTCAATGTTATTTCCTTATTAAATTTCACCTTGGGTAAACCTATGCTGTATATTGAGTCCATGGAGGAAATGAGAATCTGAGTTTGATCTTCACTGGGTATGAAGCTTTAAATGACGTGACAGTCTGTGTTGCTGAAGATATGGACTTGCGATTTGGGGCTTTCATTAAGTGCACAGCAGCTTGATACCTACACATCGAGTTGTTAAATTGTTAAAAAAATGTTAATAATTTGACTATGTTTACATTGTCACCTGCAATACATGTGCTTTAGTTACAATGATATTGATTTTTCTTGGAAGATTGAACATTTCACTCAAATGGAAACAATTTTGAGAATTTGAGATGCTATTATAAGCATACGATTTGAATTATTTTGCTTAAAAACTATGTAACTGTTTAATTTGATGTTGAATTTGTGTCTATGCAATCAGGCCCTTGTTAACATGATTAGCAACCCTGTCAACTCCACCGTTCCTATCGCTGCTGAAGTTTTCAAAAAGGCTGGAACATATGACGAAAAGAGGTTGTTTGGTGTTACTACCCTTGATGTTGTTAGGGCCAAAACTTTCTATGCTGGGAAGGCCAAAGTTCCAGTTGCTGGTATGTTGACTATAGGAAACTTGTTACTTTTCATATTTTGTTTGGTGCCACTATTTTCATTTCTGATGAAGACAGAATTTGGAAAACTTGACGAAAGAATTTCGGAGCCAAATTTATGTGTTGAATGTTTGCAAAGAGTGACCAACTCTTCTCAGGAACAAAGTTTGAAAATTGGCTTTTTTTTGGGGGGGGGGGGGTTGGGATAGGCCAAGGGGTTTTGATTTTAGGTTTATAGTTGGCTGAGCTTTATGATTTGAATTTTCAAACTCACACGATGATTGAGAGGTTCTTTTGTCCAAGAGTTAAAATGGTTATAATGGTTCTTCTCCAATGATGTGGATTTGTGCTGCAGATGTCAATGTCCCTGTTGTAGGTGGCCATGCAGGCATTACTATTCTTCCACTATTTTCTCAAGTAAATCCTTTCTCTTTTAACTCATCATTAGTTTGCTTTGACTGTTTACATCCAGGTTGACTGCCTACCTTGTATGTACTTTGCTTTTGCTAATATTCTGACTTTATTTTACTTTTACAGGCAACGCCTAAAGCCAATCTGGGTGATGATGACATTAAGGCTCTTACAAAGCGAACACAAGATGGAGGCACAGAAGTTGTGGAAGCTAAGGCTGGAAAAGGTTCTGCCACTTTGTCAATGGCGTAAGTGTGGACTAATCCTTCAATTCTCGTGTTGACAGCATAGTTTATGTTGTTACTTGTGAAGACAATTATTTGGTGTCGCACCAGTGTTCTCTGAAGTCAAAATTTCACGTACCTTAGGATTCCTAAGTGATTCTTATGCGATTCTTGCAGTTATGCTGGTGCCCTTTTCGCTGATGCTTGCCTCAAGGGACTTAACGGAGTCCCAGATGTGGTTGAGTGCTCATTTGTGCAATCCAGTGTTACTGAACTCCCTTTCTTTGCCTCCAAGGTCAGCGGACTGTAACACATTCCCCACACGCCCCCTTCCTATCTACTTTTGTTTTGTAATTTTACTACTCCAATAGTTGAATTTCATGTTTTGATTTGATTATACATGCACACAGGCTTGTTACATTTGTTAAAATGCTGACACTGGTTAGTTTGCTATTGTTAGTGATAAACGTGTCTGGAATGTTTGCAGGTGAGACTTGGGAAGAATGGTGTGGAGGAAGTTATGGGTTTGGGTGCTCTTTCAGAATACGAAAAGCAAGGGCTTGAAAGTTTATTGCCTGAACTGAAGGCATCTATTGAGAAGGGAATCAAATTTGCCAACCAGTAACTTGCATGAGAAGATCAAATTTTGCAATTCCAGGACCATTGTGGAGTGTTGCTGGCAGCTGTGGCAACTTCGATTTGTTTAGAGTAGGTATGCACCGTGAGCTAATAATGATTTCTAGGAGAGCAGTTTGATCATCAAGTTAACGATCATAAAACCAGTTTAGGCTGGCCATTCTTGAAAACTGGATTGGTCCATATTTGCTTCGTGTCGGATTTCATATAATGCAGTTGCGGGGTGGCGTACCCGTTTTCCTTTTTTGTTTTCTTTTCCATCCCATGCATAGCCCTACTGTCACGTTCAACCGCTACATGTTCTCATCTTGGCACTTTTGCTATCAGCACGGCCGTTGTCCACAATGTACGTTACAATGTTACATTACCAGACATTACTTACATCAATACAACTTATCCTCCGTTGAGAATGCGTTGTTGTGTTATTTTACACGTCAAAGTATAAAACGGTTATACAAGTAAAATCTGGTCCAAAAAGAAAATTATGCAGGTACCGACGTACAATAATTGTTATATTCTATTTCGCATGATCTTTTAC